CCGGGGAAGACCCAGGACACGCTGGAGGGACTATGTCTCTCGGCTGGCCTGGGAACGCCTCGGGATTCCCCCAGAGGAGCTGGAGGAAGTGGCCGGGGAGAGGGAAGTCTGGGTTTCCCTGCTGAGACTGCTGCCCCCGCGACCCGACCTCGGATAAGCGGGAGAAAATGGATGGATGGATGGATAAAATATTCAACTGAATCAATAATCAAAAGCAAAGTCTGATTTGTGTTAAATATGGAATAACGTTTGCCATTAAACTTTTGTCAGTTTCAAGTTATTTCAGAGAGAATTGTGTTTCTTTTTGTTTTGGAAGGGTACCAACAAATTTATCCACATCTGTATATTATAATCTAACAGTACTGACTGCAGTACATTCATTTGGTGAAATTTATCGTATAAAGTGCTTCAGGGTAAATGGCTATAATGTGCACTCAGACCCCAAAGTCAGCTCTCAACTGTGTATATACACTCATTGTGTACATACACTCACTGGCCACTTTATTAAGTGCACCAGGTTGGACCCCTTTTATGAAGTCAGAATGCCATAAAAAATAATAAATCTGTGAAAGAATAAGAAAATAAATGTTGAGTAAGAAGGCAAAATAAATACAAATAAAAAGAAAAGAATAACAAAATAAATCCATCCATTCATCCATTTTCTGGCACTTATCCAGGGTCAGGTTATGGGGGCAGCAATCTAAACAGGCATTCTCATGCCAGCTGAGAGATTTAATCTCTCCAGCGTGTCCTGGATCTGCCCCGAGGCCTTGTCTCTGTTGGACATGCTTGAAACATCTCCCCAAGGAACCACCCAGGTGGTTTCCTAGATAGATGCCCGAACCATCTCAACTAGATCCTTTTGATGTAGAGGAGCAGCGGCTCTACTTTGAGTTCCTCCCGAATGCTCCTTAACTTATTTGTAAACCTGAGGAAACCCATTTTGGCCACTTGTATCCACAATCTCATTCTTTCAGTCACTACCCAGAAGTCATGACCATAAGTGAGGGTGTTAGGCTCCAACCCTAGACTGGAGCATAACAAAGTGAAAGGGAAGGAGGGATTGGGAAGGAAAGGACAACCAGGGCTAGGAGAAGGGAACACGGGACACAAAGGGAGTCTTTTTTTTATAGTTTTTCACAAACACTGTACAAACACTAGGTGTAACAAACGTTAGGAGTGACAAAGGCCAAACAAACAAACAAAAACACATCTACCGAGTATAACCCCAAGCTAAGCTACCTAAGTGAACACAAAAGGGGTGAAACGAAACAACAATGCCTAAACCTTTCTCCCTGACCAAACAAACAATCCCCACGTTTACGATTAAACAAAAAGGCAGACACTCCTTACACACACCTAGTGGAACACGAAACAGACAGCCAAAGCAAAGGTATCCAGAGGGAAGATCGGAGAGGCGAAGTCGAAGTACAGACGAGAGTTCAAGAACCAAGCAAGCAGTCAAAACCAGGGCGAAGGTACAATAAGGGATGAGGCGAAAATCGGAAGTCAAGAGCAAAACAGTCATACACGAGCATTCAAACAAAAGCAAAGCAACGAAGAGCAAGCTAGTAGGTGAGAAGCAAGTAGCAGGCAGACGAAGGGACGAAGCGGCAATCTCTTCAGCCGACGAACCGGAAACTGCTCCGAAGGCAAGGGAGGTGGGGTCAGGTCCAGAGGGCGGAGTCGAGGGGGCGGTTGACCAATCGGCGAGTGGGCAGGACGTCCGAAGGACCTGCAGGCATCCTCCTAAACTTACGGCACGTAACCCAAACTTATGGTATGTAACACCCCCCCACACATGAGTGAACCCACAGGGTTCACTAACATACACAGACCGCAAATCAAAACCCACATAATAAACACAAGAAAACAAACAGAGCACGTCACATAACCACAGTAGTCAGGATCTCGAGAGGGCATCGGCTACTAGGTTGCTGGCACCTTTCTTATGTCTGATTTCTAAATTGAAAGCTTGTACAATCAGTGCCCAACACATGAGGCGCTGGTTCATGTTACACATACGGGACAGGAAAACTAAAGGATTATGATCGGTGTGTACGACCACCGGATTAGCACAATCTCCCACATAAACCTCAAAATGTTGTAAGGCCAAGAGAAGAGCTAGGGCCTCCTTTTCAATTGTGCTATATGCTAGCTGGTGTTTCACAAATTTCCGGGAAAAATAACAAACAGGGTGGTCGAGTCCACGGTTGTCCTCCTGCACCAATCCCACTAGCATCCACCTCCAGTTTGAAGGGCTTAGAGAAGTCTGGGGCCGCTAAGACTGGGGAACTGCTGAGTAGCATTTTAACCGAATCAAATGCTGCTTGGCAGGCTGGGGACCAAACGAAAGGCACCCATTTCCGTAACAGCTGGGTCAGGGGCGCAACGACATCGGAGAAGTTCTTCCAGAAACAACGATAATAACCAGCCATTCCTAAGAACCGTTTTAACTCACGAGGTGACCGAGGGACAGGGAAGGAAGTGATAGCCTGGACCTTTATGTCCAGGGGCTTAACTACTCCATGCTCGACCAATTTTCCTAAATAACTTACGGCCGCCTGTCCGAACTCACATTTCTCCAAGTTGAGGACGAGCGAAGCGGTCTGCAAACGGATAAACACTTGTTCTAACGAATATATGTGCTGCTCCCAGGAATTCGAATAGATGACAACGTCGTCTAGATAGGTTTCACAATTTCTAACATCACGAGAACCCGATGCATCAGCTTCTGAAAAGTTGCCAGGGCATTACGTAAACCGAAAGACATCACTGTATACTGGAGGAACTTGTCAGGGGTAGCAAAAGCAGAGATCTCAGAGGCACGGGGAGATAGCGGAACTTGCTAGGTATCCCTTCAACAGGTCTAACTTAGTCACGAATTTAGCAGAGCCAATACGATCCACACAGTCCTCCATACGCGGCAGCGGATAAGCATCTGGTTTGGTTATGGCGTTAACTTTTTGATAATCCGTACAAAAACAAAACGTTCCGTCAGGCTTGGGAACCAGTAGGCAAGGCGAACACCAGGGACTGCTACTAGGGACTGCGAGACCTGTGTCTAACAGATAAGCGGTTTCGCGAGCTAGTTGAGACCGTTTCTGAGGGTTAACCCAATACGGGTGCTGCTTAATGGGAGGGTGAGCACCAACATCTACTGTATGTCGTGCTCAGCAGCAGGGATGCGCGATGGAGTGTCCGAAAATAGAGACTGGAAACGACTCACCAGGGACGAAAGGTCGGCTTGGGCAGACGTTTCAGACGGGTTGAAAGGTTCTGCAGGGCCTCGGAGTTAGGAAGGTGAGCACAGGGTAAACAATTCCTACCGAGATGTAAGTCATCAGTTTCTGGTGAATAATTGTTGGCAGATGCAATGCCAACAGGAGTGGGCGGCTGAGCAGAAACGAGCGAGGGGTGAGGTACCGAAAGATCGAGGTAGGGTTTTAACATGTTCACATGACACAGGCGAGTCTTTCTTCTACGGTTTGGGGTTGCCAACACATAATTTGTAGGACTAAGCTTCTCCTGGATCACATAAGGACCAGAAAAACGGGCGCAAAGGGTGGAACCTGGCAGCGGCAGAAGGACGAGTACCTGATCACCAGCTTTAAATGATCGGGGTTGTGCTGACTTATCAAATCGTTTCTTCATCCTATCTTGTGAGGCGCCCAGAGACCTCTTAGCTAATTCCCTGACTGCTGACATGCGATCACGGAGAGCGCTAACATATTTACACACATCTTGGGAAGGGGGGTATACACAGGGAGACAGCCATTGTTCCTGTAACACTTTTAGAGGTCCTCGCACAGCATGGCCAAACACTAATTCGGCCGGACTAAACCTGGTTGATTCCTTCACAGTATCACGAATAGCAAAAAGGAGGAGAGGTACCCCCTCATCCCATTCCTTTCCTGCATCCAGACAGAAGGTACACAGCATATTTTTAAAGGTTTGATGGAACCTCTCCAGCGCCCCCTGACTCTCTGGGTGGTAGGCACTGGATACGGAGTGACGGACCCCCAATTCACGAATCACCTGGGCGAATATTTTGAACGTGAAATTGAAACCTTGATCCGACTGTACATACTTAGGAAGCCCGAACGTAGTGAAGAATTTAATTAGGCTCTTCACAATCACAGGAGTCCGAAGACTACGTACAGTATGGGGATAGCTTCTGGGTAGCAAGTTACAGCACACATCACGGTGAATAAATAACAATTACCCGAGCGAGTCTTCGGCAACGGGCCGACACAGTCTATAATGACATGTTAAAAGGGTTCTCCGAATACAGGGATGGGACGTAATGGGGCAGGTGCAATTATCTGATTTGGCTTACCCACAGCCTGGCAGACATGACAAGTTTTACAGTAGTTTTTCACATCTGAATTAACTCCCAGCCAATAGAAATACTGGAAAACGCGGAACAATGTCTTCCAGATACCGAGGTGACCTGAACACGGGTGATCATGAGCTAAGGACAACACATAATCATGGTACAATCTCGGGACTACCACCTGGAACACCGTAGCCCACTCAAAAGGCGAGTCTGGTGGGGACCACTGTCGCATTAGGACCCGATCGCGGAAGAAGTATGCTGTGGGATGCTCCTTCACGTCAGGCTTGTCCATAGCAGAGGCACGACAGGGTTCCAAGGAAGGGTCCTCTTTCTGAGCCGAGATCAGTGCATCCCTAGTGGAGGGAACTTCAGGGGAGGTAACAGAGTTATCGGGAACCGGGGTCACAGACTCAATTTTCAAAGGTTTGTCTAATACTGGCACGGACATGAACGTGTCCTCGAGGTCAATATCGGTGAGCTGGCGCGTGTAAGCACACAAGCAGGAAACACAGTCGGGAGTTCCACTGCCACATCACTATCAGATAGCACAGGGTCCGGAACCACTTCGGGTAAGGGAACAATTCTTTCCCGCTATATCATTCCCAAGGATAAATGTAATACCCGGGACAGGTAACTGGGACTGGATAGCAACCCGCACATATCCCGAGAAATCGGGAGTACACAAATAAACGGTGTGCAGAGGAACTCCAGCCACACATAAATCAATTCCCTGTACCAACACGTCCGTACCACAGTACGTCTCGTTAAACAGGGGAATAACCCCTTCCACCAAGAAGGACTGAGCAGCTCCCGTAATCCCGCAGGATAGTCACAGGGTGCCGAGCATCAGTCTCACTGAGCGAAACCGAACCAGTAAATACAAATGGTTCAAAAGCAGCGTCAGTACGAGAGGACGAGGGTGAAGAACTGTCGGGGCAGGCAGCAACATTCACTTTTCTGGTTGCTGCGCTAGTTTCCTTGCGCTTTAACGCAGGACAAACAGATATAATATGGCCCACTTCATGACAATAGAAGCACTCACGTTTCTCCGCGAGCGGGGGACACGGTGCTGACGAGGGGGAGGTTACAACTGGACTAGGGTGAGTTTTGCGAGGGAAAGGAATCGGGGTAAACACAGTTTTAGGAGTCAAAATGAACTCGTCAGCGAGGGTGGCAGCTTCGGTCAAAGAAGCGACTTTCTGTTCGTTTAAATAAACTACCACCCAGTCAGAAACAGTTTTTAAATTCCTCCAGCAATACCAGTTCCTTAAACTGGTCGAAAATTAAACACCCCGCTGGCGCTGCACCACTTATCAAATAGGACCGCTTTCTCGCGTGCAAACTCCACGTATGTTTGGCTGCCGGATTTCTGAAGCTTCCTAAAGTTTTGTCGATAGGCTTCTGGCACTAATTCATAAGCCCTAAGCACAGTAGCCTTCACAATATCGTAATCCTCTGCTCTAACGCGAGAGCCGAACAAACCTCCTCTGCCTTACCTACAAGCTTGCATTGCAATAACAATGACCAGAGATGTTTGGGCCAGTTTAACGTCATGGCAATGCGTTCAAAAATGGAAAAGTAGGCGTCTACCTCATTTTCCCGAAACACAGGAACAAGACCGATGTGTCGGTTAACATCAAAGCTCGACTTACCAATTTCCGGGGAAACAGGCGAACTCAAGGGAGACCGGGGACTGGGCCTAGGAGCATCTAGGGCATTGGCCTGGTCTCGGGCGGGGCGGGCTGCTGGTGGAGTCGTACCTGGTGTGTGTACCTTACGCGGAAGAGGCATCGGTTTTTGGTCACCCATGCTCAACTGCCGTAACTCCAGCTCTTTTTCTGCCTCAATCTCCACTGCCCAGACACGGAGTAGCTGAGACTGGTACTCCTGTCTCTTGATCTCGAGTTCGAGCTCCCTTAGCTTAATTGTAAGCAACAGGTCCTCCCTGGTTGAGCGGGGATCTCCAAGATCCATGCGGTGTCCAAACCCTAGATCACCACTGCTGGCCTCCGCTGCAGTAGACAACCGAACCGGGGTTGTCAAGGTTTCGGGCAGCTTGGGCACACGAACGTAGCATGGTGCAGGCACAAAAAGGTTCCTGGCAGCTCCAGGAACAAAAGGGGTTTATTAAATAAAACAGAAGACACTACAAACACAATGAAACCAAAAGGACCATGAGGGGTCAAAACTAAAGGGGATAATTAAAGACTTAATATCACAAAACAAAAACTAGGAAGGAAAACAGGATGCAGATCTAACCAAACTAACCAGGCTTAGACAAGCAACAACACACAAACTTC